ACGCAGGCATAGGTCCATTAAGCTTGTTGTCCAGGCTGGCCCCGCACACTGGCGAGTTTGCTAGTCTCATAAGAAAAAAAAAAAAAAACTGGATGAGTTTTTTCCTTCCATCTTATTATACATCCTGAAGAGCTTGGTTTGCTGACCAGTGAGAAAACTCTCTCTGGTCTCTGCCATCAGAAGGGTACACATACTGGTATGCATTTTGCAGTCAGATAGACTGGGATTCCAAGCAGCTGTAGCCAACTGGTCAGAAGCCCAGGTAACAACCCAGGCTTCTGACTGGCGTCTCTTTGTGTGGCCATGCCAGCTCTCAGGGGAGTTTGTCATAAAGGGTCCAGTCCGTAAGGGGCCTTTGTTGTTCAACCTTTGTTGCTTGATTAGTGATGCAACAAAAGTCTCCACTTTCTTAGACTATTTTGGGGAGTGAAATTTCTGGATCTCGTTAGGGCTGTGTCCTTTACATGCTTGTGGGATGCCTCTTTCATCCACGGTTAAGGCATAAAAAGACTTATTGGTTTGTGTTGCTATTAAGACACTATTCGTCAATAGCAGATGATGGATCCTTTGAATTGGAAAAACTTCTAAACTGGTAAATTTTTTAGAGAACTCTCATTGTAAACAGCTGTTTTATTGGCACCTGTGGAAAGACCAAATTAAAAGGTGGAAACAAAAAAATATAATGGCTAACCCTAAGAACTCCCTTAATTAAAAAACAAAACAAAACAAAAAGATTTGGGAAAGCTTATCAAATCTGGTGTCTCAGCCTCTCCTCATGGGTCTTACAGATGCTAATAAAAGCATTCAGTGAATTAACAGGAGAATGGGAAGAAACCAAGGGGAAGGTCAAGGTACTCTTCCCCGAAAGGTAGGAAGTGTTAAAGGTTATTAAGAAGGTAAATAAAGCAAATATTGAAAGTTGCAGAATGAGGAGGAATCAGAAGAAGACACAGGACTTGCCCCAGCAGGATGGAAACCTTCAGATGGCTATTAAGAAATGGGATAAGTAAAATGGACATTGATGGGATTAAAATAAAGGTTTCTAATACAGCACTATCTAAGATTAAGTGGGCCAAAGGGACGTTCTTTGATCCCCAAAACATTAAAGGGCCCCAAACAAGTCCTCTCTACTTACTTCAGTTTGGAGAAATTTTTTAAACTGGAAGGCAAAAATTACAATGTGAAACCTAACCAACAATCACTTGGGGCAAGAATTAGGTCGATTAATTGAGTTCAAGATTGACAAAAGGGCCTGGGTCCCTTAGCTCAACCCCTCACTGCAGACCCAAAGCCTTTTACACAAGAGTGGGGAGATGGCAGAGGGATGGAGAGAAGTTTCTGGAACTCCTTGATGCCAGAACCTCACAAGCTGTGGTACCAAAACCCATTAGTGGAACCCTGACTTGGGCTACAACAAGAATGAGAAAAGTAAAAAGTGCAAGAGTTGATAAGATTATAAAAGTCGGAATGTTTGAGTGGGTGTTATATGAAGAGGTTAAACAACGTTGCTGGAATGCTTTATGGTAATGGATGTTATGGCCAGCAACACTTCTCCGACCCAGTATTGTAAGACTGAGACTTATTGATGGGGTCCTAATGGAGGCTATGGTCAAAGGTATAAGAGTTGATGAAATTGAGGTGAAAGCTTGTAAGAAAATTGCAGTGTTTGAATGGACTTTATGTAAGGTGGTTATGTCTCTTTTGCCTGATTGTATTGTCAGGGTAGACATTGCCTCTCCCTGGGGAATGTTTCCACTGCTTGGTATTGTAAAACAGGGCACATAAATACACCCTTTGGGCAATGTTAATTAGACATGCTAATGAGAGTCAGTAGGGTTGCCTGGGCCCACACAATGTGAGATGAAAACTGGGGGCTGATACTGGGGCCTGATAGGAGCAATGGTGGAGGCTTTTTGCCCCTTGGGTGAATTGGTCTGGGGTTGACTTGAGCACTCATAAAGAGGGCCTTTACTGAACACCTTGTGCAGACTTTTTGAAGGCATGATGCATTGATCTCTGAAGTTCTAAAACATAGAAATCTTTTGATTTCCATTTTAATTGGAAATCTTCTCCCTGATATAAAGAAGCAAATTAAAGAAAATATAGTTGGATGAGCAGATCAGCCTTTTGATATCATTTAGGCAGTAGCCCAGTTCTTTGTGGAATTGAAAGCGACTGTCTTTGTCTTGTAAATCTCTACAAAATCAGAAATATAAGCACAGCCCACAGTCACCTGAGACTGAGCCTGGGGAATCAATCAGTAGAACCTGGGGGGAAAAAAAGGGAAAAAGACCTTTTCAAAAGTACTAACTGGACTTACCTGGTGGCACAGTGGTTAAGAATCTGCATGCCAGTGCAGGGGACACGGGTTCGAGCCCTGGTCCAGGAAGATCCCACATGCCGCGGAGCAAATAAGCCTGTGCTCCAAAACTACTGAGCACGTGAGCCACAACTACTGAGCCCCTGCACCAGAACTACTGAAGCCCGCGCGCTGTAGGGCCCATGCTCCACAACGAGAAGCCGCCACAATGAGAAGCCTGTGCACCACAACGAAGAGTAGCCCCTGCTTGCCTCAACTAGAGAAAGCCCGCTCGCCTCTACTAGAGAAAGCCCGAGCGTAGCAACGAAGACCCAACGCAGCCAAAAAAAAACAAATTACTAACTGCTGGAAGTGCTCCCTTACCCAAAATCTAATGCACAGCTTCTTTAATTAATATTATTTGTCAAGGACAAATACAAATCTTAAACGTCTTTTCCACATATAGTAAAAAGCCTTTGCCATCTGAGTGGATAAACTTAACTTACTGCAACTGACGTTTATGAACTAGTGAGGTTTATATTGTTATACCTGATTCATGACTAAAGTCTTAAAATGAAAGCTATGAGGTCTCTGGTTGTGTCTGTCTGTATATCTATGCATGCATGTTATAGATAGGGTATTTTTCTACCTTCTGATGGTATTGCCAAAAGTAACTTGTAGAAGAACTCTAATTGGCTTAAAAGTAAGCACTTTTTTTTTTTAATTTATTTATTTTATTATTTATTTATTTTTGGCAGTGTTGGGTTTTCGTTGCTGTGCGCGGGCTTTCTCTAGTTGCGGTGAGCGGGGGCTACTCTTCATTGCGGTGCACAGGCTTCTCATTGCGGTGGCTTCTCTCATTGCGGAGTACGGGCTCTAGGTGTGCGGGCTTCAGTAGTTGTAGCGGATGGGCTCAGTAGTTGTGGCTTGCGGGCTCTAGAGCGCAGGCTCAGTAGTTGTGGCGCACGGGATTAGTTGCTCCGCGGCATGTGGGATCTTCCCGGAGCAGGGCTCGAACCCGTGTCCCCTGCTCTGGCAGGCGGATTCCTAACCACTGCACCACCAGGGAAGTCCCAAGTAAGCACTTTTGAATTAAACATTTCTAAATATAACAGACTAACCAAAATATTTTTCGAGTTCACATGATCTAAGATTAACCTTTAGTAAATAAAACCAAATTTAAAGTTACTGCTTTAATTAAAATAGGCAGTCTTTAGAGTTAGCAGCATTAAATGTAAAACTTTTATTCCACCTGGGTTTACTAATCAAATAAGTTCACGTTATGTCTGTTACGAAGTTTATCAACAAGAATAATGGCTTGGGATGATAGTTGACTTTAATGTCTCATGAAGTTTTCATGAGTACTCTAAACATAATTGTTGGTAACAAATTATTTAGATAAATATTGATATAAATGGGGTAAGACTTAAAAATAACTTCGAAAATCTTTTGGTAATTTAAAACTTTAGAGTTTTTCTAAGGTAAGTTAAATGATGGGAATTCATTGAATGTCTAGATCATTTCCAAATAAGATAAAATACTGAAATATTAATTGCTAAACAAGTCTAAGTTTACCTACTTTTGTCTTCTTATTACCAAAAAAACCCCTAAAGATGTTTGGGTCTATTATACATTACACATTATGAAATGTCTTTAAAAAATACTGGTATAACAAACAGTTCACAATTGCTTCCTTCTTAGTTTTCACTAGAAATTAAGTTTTCTAAGGGTTAAGAATTCTAATTAATATACCATAAAACTACTAAAATAAATAAGGAAAACATCTTCATATGTAAGGAAAATGTTTAAAAGGTATAAGGAATGGGAATGCATTTTGTTAAGGGAAAATAAAGTAAAAAGTTAAAAAAGGGCTTCCCTGGTGGCGCAGTGGTTGAGAGTCCGCCTGCCGATGCAGGGGACGTGGCTTCGTGCCCCGGTCTGGGAAGATCCACATGCCGCGGAGCGCCTGGGCCCGTGAGCCATGGCCGCTGAGCCTGTGCGTCCGGAGCCTGTGTTCTGCAACGGGAGAGGCCACAACAGTGAGAGGCCTGCGCACCACAAAAAAAAAAAAAAAAAGTTAAAAAAAAGAGGAAAAGCATAGGACAAAGTTTGAATGTGGAAAAAGAAAAGGATTTGTAGGTTTATGGAAAAGGAACTCTGAGAAAAGAGTTTTGTGTACGGTGAGGACTGGCAAAGATTAGAATACATTCAATTGAGTGAATGAATTTTAATATTAAAAGTAAGCTGATACAAAATTAGAATCTTGTTTTCTCTGTGTTAAGAAGACAAAAGTCTGCTCTTGATAATTTATAAAATGTTTTTCTTTACCTTTGATTAGTCTGCCTATAGAGAAAGGATTTTATGTTTTATCAAAATAATTTCCTATGTTGTTTTTATTAGGTCTTTGATTACTGGTTTGGTCCCAAACCAATGCCCCTAAAATCCTTTTTTCTTTAGCTGAAGATGGTATTTAAGGTGAGGGCTTCAGCCATTTTGGTGAGTTTCTCTGTTCTCCTGGGTTTCTCCTGTGTATACGTGTTACTAAACTTTTGTTTGACTTTCTCCTGTTAATCTGTCTCATGTCAATTTAATTGTTAGACCAGCCAGAAGAACCTAGAAGAGTAGAGGAAAATTTCTTCCTCCCAGGCAAATGACATGACTTTTGCGATCCTATGATGGAATCTTTTTTTATTTGTTCCAGGCGTTTCTAACTGGGGAGGTTATGCCTTGGCCTGTGCTCTGTACATCCTGAACTCATGTGAGGTCGACAGACGTTATCTGAGGAAGGCAGTTGGGCCCTTCAGAGCACCTGGAGAACAGAACTGGACTCAGGCCCTCCCATCCATCACTAAGGTAACATAGCCCAGCAGGCAACTCTCACGGATGCAACTTTTTCCCCGGATGAGGAGTAGACACGGTATTTCAATCCATAAGCCAGGGGCCAGCACCACTGCTGCCCATCAGAAGCCAGAGGCAGAGCCTGCCTTAAAACAAAGGTCTCGGGCTTCCCTGGTTGGCGTAGTGGTTGAGAGTCCGCCTGCCGATGCAGGGGACACGGGTTCGTGCCCCGGTCCAGGAAGATCCCACATGCCGTGGAGCGACTGGGCCCGTGAGCCATGGCTGCTGAGCCTGTGCGTCCAGAGCCCGTGCTCCGCAACGGGAGAGGCCACAACAGTGAGAGGCCCGCGTACCGCAAAAAAAAAAAAAAAAAAAAACTAAAAGTCTCCCATCAGGCAACCACTGGACTGGACTTTGACCTACTAGGGACTCTAAATCACTATGAAAGATCTCATATAAATGACCATTTTCCTTCTAATTTGACTGTAGGCAGGTTGCTTAGCCTCTCTGAACCTCATTTTCTTCCTCTGTGAAAGAGGGGCAGTCAGCATTCTGGGAAGGACGGAATACCTGGCCCATGGTAGACACTTCATAGCGGTAGCTGGAGGTGTCCTTAGCATCTCCCTCCAAGGAGTTTACAACCCGGCAAGGGCACTGACACCCCCGCTGGCACCGTCAGCCATCCTACACGGTGCTAAGGTGTGAGGGCCCAGGGTGGCAAGAGGACCCTGTGGGCTGAAGGCTGGGAGGGATAAAGCCAGTGGAAGGGGAGGCATCTGGGCAGGAAGACCGGAGGGAACAGAAGCTGGGAGATGGGGACCAGCTTAGTGCTGGTTTGGGGAGACTACTCTTGAGGGCAGCAGCAAGCCAGGGTGTGATAGGAGCAGAGGAGGGCTTCTGACCCCAGGGTCCCCAAAGAGGGGGCCCGCAAGTCCTCCGAAACATTTTGCAAAATTGTTTCATACATGGATTTTCCTGGGCAAGAAGCCCTGGTTTCATCAGAGTCTCCAAGTAGTCTGGGGCCATTAAGAACCCCTGGCAGAGGGAGGTCACATGAGCCGGATCAAAGCAAACCCGACTCCTGACTGAGGCTTCTACCCGAGAAGTAATAGGGAGCCACGCGAGGGCTTTGAGCGAGGAACCGGGGTCCCACTGGGTGGCTTTGAGTGAGCTCCTCTGACTGCAGAGCCAACTGTGAAGGGCTGTGTGCAGTTCCAGGCGTTCCCCATAGACCAGTGCAGAGGCAGGACACACACGGACACGTACACACACACACACGTGCACATACATGGCTGACTTACGTGAACTCACATATACGTGCAGGGAAAACAAAAAGAGAGAAGGCCAGCCAGTCCTCTAAGTGGTTCCAGCATTCTGCTCCCGGTCCTGGACCCCGGGCAGCGAGATGGGCCCCTGGAGACTCGGCTGTTCCTACCTCAGGCCTCAGTTCCCACGGCTCTCGTGACACCGATTCCAGCCTCAAGCCCCCTCCCCAGCGGGTGCCCCTCGCAGAGCTGGGACCCGCCCACCCCGGAGAGAAGCTGGTGGCGTGTCAGTCTCTACCAGGCACCTTCTAGGGGAATTCTCCAGAGTAACTGGATCACGGGAAATTGGGGCCAAAGCCCAGACTTTACATCTAAATCCCAGGTCACAGGTGACTTCACCTGTGAGCGGACAGCTTCGCCTGAGGGCAGGCAGGCAGGAGCGGGGGAGGGCTGGGGACACCTGGAGAACAGCCGAGGGAGCTGGGGTGTCTGGTCTTCTGGAGAGAGGATTTGGGGGGGCCTGAGATCTCAACAGCTTCCTGGGGGAGGGGCACAGATACCCTCCTCGGCCGCGTGAGAGACACAAGCAGGCCAGAAGACAGAGGTTCTGGTTCAATGTAAGGAAGAGCTTGTTCTCCTCAGAGCTACTGCCCAAGCCTGCGAGGAGGGAGCTCTCGGACACAGGGAGCGGGTCAGTGTCGGGGGAGGAGTTTCTCGAGTTCCGTCAGGCTGACCACAAGGCCACTCCCAGACAGTCCAAACAGTCTCATGCAACTTGAGGCTGCCCCAGTCTTATCCCCCCAAATAGATTTGCTAAATGAGGAAAAAACAAAACAAAACAAACCTTCTGGAAATCAGGGACCAGGTCTTTCGTATCTGCTTTCCCAGCAACTAGTGGAGGGAAACCCAGTGCTTGGTAAATCCTTGTTGAATGAATGAGTGTATGAATGAATGAATGAATGCCGTGCTTATTAAAGCAGTGATTCTTCCAAGTTTAGAGGCATCTAAGGGACCTTCCACACAGCAGGAATCACCTCAGGGGCATCTTAAAGCGCACAGTGGGGCCCACCCCAGGGCTCCTGATTCAGTAGGTCTGAGACGGGTTAGAGAATCTGCACCTCTGACAACTTCTCAGGCAATATTGCTGCTGCTGCTGCGGGGACCACATTTGAGACCCTGGACTAGAGGGTGGGTTCCCAGCGTCGTGGCAGAGGCTGGTGTGGGGAGATGGGAAGGCGATCCAGGAGACAGGAAGGTTCCTGAGCGTTGAGCCTGGAGACAGCAGCTGAGGTGGGGCTGCTTGCAGGTCCCCCAGCCAGCCAGCAGCTGAGGTCCTGGGGCCCCTCACTTGTGCGAAGCATCTGCATCCAGAGCCCCTCCCTGCCTCCTTCCTGTCCTTCTTTTACATTGTCTTGCACCCTTTCTGCTCCCTTTTTCTTTCTGCCTCTGTGTCTGTCTCCCTCCTGCACCCGCCCCCATTTCTCTCCAACACCTCCCCGGATTGGTTTGTTATCCCCACTTTACAGAGGAGGGGGCTGAGGCTCTGAGAGGGAAGGTGGCTTGCCCAAAGCCACACAACTAAGAGGCAGAGCTGAGTCTAGGCTCTCTGACTCCATACTCTGAGCTCTTCCTGATGTGGCTCAGTAGTTTCCTAGTTTCCGGCAATGCCAGGGTGCAGGAGAGGAGGGGAAAGGAGGAGTCGCGCAGCTAAAGTGACATTTTCAGGGGAAATGGTCTGCCCTAAAGGGGCCCAGAGAGCCTTCTATGTTTTCTTTACACTTCCTGGATCTGAATTGGAAAAAAACACTCAGAGGGCCGCCTCACACATGATTCCTGATTCATGCAGACACAAAAGGCTGAACCCAGCCAAACAAGTTCATGCAGCCCCACGCTTACCCTCTGGGGATGGAAATTCTCCTTCCACATTTCCACCCAGTCTTCATAAATATATTAATAATGTACCACCCTTATAAAGAAAATAAAAGGGAACATCATTAAACCAAAATTACAAACACATTTTTGTATAGCCCCTCCTCTGGGCCAGGCCCAGGCTTGTTCTGGGAGATGAGGGGTAAAGAACCCAGGGTCCACGGGGGCGGGGGGGGGCTAATTTCAGGAGCTGGGATAGAACTGTGAATACTGCTTGTGGGGACACAGAGAACAGGTGCTTGGCTCGTTCAGAGAGCTCAAGGAAGGCTGCCTGGAAGAGGTGGCACTGAACTGGGTCTTGGAGGGTGAGTAGGCTATAAGGAGCCAGGTGAGAAAGCGTGGGAAGGACCTTCCAGACAGCAGGACTCACAGAAGTGAAGGTGCAGAGACATGAAGCAGTGCGTTGTGCAGGGGATAACTAGAGTCGTCCTACTGGAGTTCAGTGGGTCACTCCATGGAGACCCCTGGGTCATCAAGAGATGCCGGACAGAACTGTGGCCTGAGTTTTGGTGAAGTTTGGCTGGTTAGGAGCGGAGGAATGTCCCTCAACCCTGTTCTGTGTGTTGCTTATAAGAAGGGCCTTCCATATTCCGCGGATGTGATCACGACTGTAGCAGGAGTGGGCACCATGTTGAGGAGCCCAGGGAAGGTGGCCACCACCATCCAGGGCACGCCCTGCCCACTCTGGCCCTTGGCTGTGCCCCAGGGGTTTTCCTTGAGGGCAAAACAAATTGTTGGAGGACATTTCCTAGAGCTTATGAGGAGCCAAGAGCTGATTGATGACACCTTACAGGAGGGACTAAGGATGGATGGATGGATGGATGGATGGATGGACAGACTGCTGGTAGGCTGGCTAGCTGGATGGATGAATGATATGACAGATCAATGGATAATGGTCGGATGGATGATACAGAGAGGCAGGAACATGACTTCTGCCTCATCCTGACTACATTCTCTTCCAGCACTTTCACCCCACTCCACTTTCTTTATACTTTTTAAATTGAGGTACAACTAACAGAGTAAAGCACATAAGCTTCAGTGTACAGTGGGTGAAGTTTTACACACATACACATCCATGCAGCCACCACCAAGGTCACAGTGCAGAGCAGTTCCAACTTCCCAGGAGGCCCCTTTCTCCCACCCCACTCTGAACAGCAGCATCGCCTGAAAAATCAGCCCGTTATGCTCCAAGCATGAATCAATAGTGACACCCACACACTCAACCTTGACATCCAGAACTCATCCTGGGGCCTCCTTCCACATCCACAATGAACTAGGCCCCAGGCCCTGCCCCCTCTGCCCAATTCAGTCCTCTGTCCCTCTCCTCCGGCCCCACCGTCTCAGCCTGGACTGGTGTGGCAGCCCCCAGGCCCTGTGTCTCCAGCCACTCCCTGGTCAGCTCTCCTCCCCGCCCCACCACCTCCTCTTGGTGGGGCCTCCTTGAAGATGGTCTGGTTGTTTAGGGGTTCCTGGGAATTTGCTGGCAATCACTGTTGGCCCAGCTGCTCCCTGTGGTTCTTGGAGGCTGAGTGCTAGCCAGTTCCTAAGCTGTTGACTGATCTCGTGCACCCTGAGGACCCCCAGGGCTCTACTGGGACCCAGGAGGATGTGAATGGTGGGGGCAGGCAGTGTGCTAGGGGGAAATGGCCCTGTGGTCCCAGGAGCCTTGCCCCATAAAGAGAGGATATGTCCCAATGGAGAAGAGAAATGGGAGAATAAAGTCCAGACAATTGACGGAAGATGCCATTCTGGGCTGGGTACCCCTGGGAAGGGGCTCTTGGACAAAGGGCTTGCCTGGAAATGCTCCGGGCCTCCCTCCTACCTTGGGCCCCAGGGAAGAGTGGAAATGCAGGTTCTCAGGCCAAGTGCGAGTAGAGACAGGTCCTAGGTGATATTTGCCAACACTTTCTCCCTTGTTTTGAAAAGTTTTCAGTGAGTGCTCCCCACAGCCCCTGGCTTGTCTCGCTCCTGCTCTTGTCACCTGTGGTCCTAGTTGCCCCTCCTCCAGAAAGTCCTTCTTGAGCCACTTCAGTAAATGGGGTTGGGGGCCCCTGCTCTGTGCCGTGATCCCCATGGACTGTGCCTGCCTGATGAGTCGTCTAGAATGTGACGCCCCCGGGAGTGTGGGGGGCAGGGACCACATCACATTCACCACTGTATCCCTGGTTCAGGTCCTGGCACAAAGCAGGTGCTCAATAAAACTTTGATGGGTGATGGAATGAATGAGCAAATGCCTGAGCAGGAAGATGAGAACCTTCCTCTGGTCTGTCATGATCCACCTGCTCTAGATCCTTTTGTCCCCTTCCTTTGTCTGTAGAGGAGAAGAAGGAGGTTGTGCTTGACTTCTGCCCCTCGGGCACCATCTTCTCTCCTGTGTCTTCACCTAAGACCCAACTTCCTCAGGGGGACCTGAACTGCTCAACAAGGGACAGACACGTTAGTGGCTTAGACAAGTGGTTCTTTGGCACCTTGTTTTTGGAGGGAGATGGAAGAAAGCAAATCAGATCACTTTTTTAAAAAAAATCAACAAGTCAAAGGAAGAAAGTTCTGGGCTAAAGACCAGGGGACCCAGCCCTGCCTATAATAATCCACCTCATTTCATGAGCACCTACTGTGTGCCAAGGACCGTGCTAGGTGCTTTACTTGCATTTTCTCTTTTTTTAAAAATTAATTAATTAATTTTGGCCGCGCTGTGTCTTAGTTGCGGCATGCGGGATCTTTAGTTGCGGCATGCAGAATCTTTAGTTGCGTCATGCGGACTCTTAGTTGCGGTGTGTAGTCTTCTTAGTTGCGGCATGTGGACTTCTTAGTTGTGGCATGTGAACTCTTAGTTGCAGCATGCATGCAGGATCTAGTTCTGGGATTGAACCCAGGCCCTCTGCATTGGGAGCGTGGAGCCTTACCCACTGGACCACCAGGGAAGTCCAGCATTTTCTCATTGAATCCTCACAACAACCTTCTAAGGAGGCATTGTTATTATCATCCACCTCCCCATTATACAGATGGGGACACTGAGGCACAGAGAGGTTTAACACACCTGCCAGGAAAGACCCAAGTCAGATCTGTCTGATTCTAAACCACTCTGCCTGCTGGGCCCAGGATGGGGTTGCATTTTCTCCGTGGCTCTGCTCCCTCCAGATTCTCCCACAACCGCACCGGGTAAAGTCTAGAAGGTGACTGAAGCAGGGCTAACAGAGGCTGATAGCGAGGAGGAGCTCTCAGGAGGAACAGGGGCCTTCCTGACACGAAGGCCATTGGCAGATAATGCAGAGCTGGGCAGGGCTAGGTTGGCAGGAAGTAGCCAAGCTGCCCCTGCAGAAGTGAATCTTTAGCGTCTGTTAAGAAAATGCAGATTTCCATAAAAAACATACTATATAGTTACATGAAGAAACAGCCCAAACTGTTCAAAGTAGCAGCTTCCGGGGAGTGGATTGGGGAGCCCATGAGGTGTGATGTAGGACACTGTTACTTTTCACTATGAGTCTTCCAGTGGCGTTAGTATTTTTAAACATTTTATTTTTAAAAAAGAGACTATGTCAAGTCAAACGTTCTTTTTCCACTTATAAATGTATGGATTTCTTTCTTTTTCCTCCCCTTCCACTGCTTCTATCTCTGCCCCATTTCTTTCCAGGAAGAAAAAATGTTGGGCATCCTGGTGCAGCATGGAGTCCGGAGCGGAGTCTCGGGCACCCTAGGCATGGAGGTGGACGGGCTGCCCTTCCATGGCACTCACGCCCAGATGATCCAGAAGCTGGTAGACGTCACCATGGCGCAAGGGTGACCATGCAAATTACAGGCATGGGGGGTGCGTACTAGACGGATCTAGGGAGGAGTTCCCTGAGGGCCCCGGCTTTCTTCTACAACAGCCTTGCAAATAAACACTGGCCCTGGGTGAGCAACGTGCTCCACACTGGCCTGGGTCACGCGTGCCCACCTCCTGGGTCGGGGTTGGGGGCAGCGGGTAATGCAGGTGATGTGGACCGAGTAAAACAGTCCTCTGGGGTCCCCAGTTTTGGCTTTTATTCCTAAGTGCCAGGAGGCATTGATTTCAACCTCCTCACCCTGGCTTCTTCAGGTTACCCACGCAGTCTGCTCTGAGAGTCTTCTGAGCAATCACTAACGGGGACGCCAGTGAGCAATGAACTTCCAGGCAGACACAGAGGGTCCTGAATAACCCCCCAGGCTAATTAAGAAACAGCAAAATGTACAAATGTGTAGTGTATATTACGAAGCTCTGGGGCTTCACTAAAGGTTTACTCATCACCACCACCAACAAAATATTTATACCTTCGAAATGCTCTCTTTTACAAACAACATCCTGTTTATTTAGGCAAAAGATTTATCTCCACCCATCATTTCCCCTGTGCCCCTCCCCCTCCCTTACCCCCTTACATCCTGATCCCCCGCCACAGAGCCTGACACCTCTCCCACCTCCTTCCCATCTGCTCAGCCCCCACTCCAGAGCCAGACTCTGCCCTCCTTGCATAGAAGGGCAGCCACATTCCCGGAGCCCGGGGGTGGGTCAGGACCTTCCAGGGCTTAGATCACTCACAGAGTCCTCTTGGACAACTCATCGGTTTGCCCTTATCTCCTTCACAACTTCCCACTGTACGTTCCCCGACAAAATCCGAAGCAGAATCCCTGACCACGTCCCGTTACATTCACGTACTGAACCAGTACAGTATCTTGTGCTGGATCATCTAGATGGGGTAATGGAAGCAGCTTTTGGCAGGAAAGAGCTTTTGTCTTGTCACTTTAGCAAAATTATATTGTAACTAACTTAAACCAGGCACCCCCTTGCTCTACTCATCTATGGCCCAAGCACACCTTTCAAATCTTTTGCCTACACAATACCATGCCTAAGATGTTGGTTCTTTCTGTAGATCAAAGAAGTAAAAATGAAGAATATAATTAACAGACGACCAGATCTCTTCTCTAGCTTCCCCTTCAGTGATCTCAAGAACAAACTATGTGAACGAGGTAGCAGCTAAAGAAAGATGACAAGGAGTCAGCGAGCCTTTCACGCAGTGGGAGATGTCAATGAGTTTGATCCCCTAACTCAATGATTACCTGAGATGACTTTCCCTTTTCCCTTTAAAAACTTTCAAGGCCAAGCAGAATCTTTGGTGCTGGTTTTGGGGACACTAGTCCACCTTCTCCCCAGATTGCAGGCTTTCTGATTAAAAGCAACATTTTCCACTTCTACCAACACTTGTCTCTCGAGTATTGATTTTTGAGCAGCGAGCAGCTGGACCTGAGTTCAGAAATAGTAGTCCATGGGCTTCCCTGGTGGTGCAGTGGTTTCCGATGCAGGGGACGCGGGTTCGTGCCCCGGTCCGGGAGGATCCCACATGCCGCGGAGCGGCTGGGCCCGTGAGCCATGGCCGCTGGGCCTGCGCGTCCGGAGCCTGTGCTCCACAATGGGAGAGGCCGCAACAGTGAGAGACCCGCGTACTGCAAAAAAAAAAAAAAAAAAAAGAAATAGTTGTCCTGCTTCCCAGCTATGGCCCCAAATGTTTATTGTGCCTGTTTTATTTCCTTAAGCATGTCAAGTTTGATTCTTTTAGGGGCATACGTTGTAAAGCGTGGAACACATACTATAGAAATTAAATTGTGCACTCAACAGCAAAACCTAAGTGTGTAGTTCAATGATCTGGGGTTAACTTCCAATGCTCCCTACGCACGGTGTGGTGAAGACTTTGGCCAGAAGTAGCTGGGGTGGGTGCTGTCCTGACATCCCTTTGTCATTCTGGTGGGGAGTCCACACCTACGTGTCTGTGCTCCTGCTGGTGTGGCATCAGGGCCACTGTAATGTGCTCACCGTCCTTCTCCATTTGTGACTTCTCACAGATCGGTGAACCCACCTCAGCTCTAAGCCTCACTGACCAGGTCTCCTCCAGTTCCAATTTGTGTCCCTGATTTGGGTCTGCAGAGCTCCATGTAATGGGGGCCTCTGATTGAGAGTGCATCCTGCATTGCTGAAATCTTGATGGCTAGAGAGAGATGAAACATCATCTGCTAAGGCTCCCGGGACTTCCCTGACTCATATTTTTGGGGAATACACACTAATGGGCCTTTGGTTTTGCAGTAGTAATAGCAGAATTCTATTCTGGCATGAACAAGTTTGAAGCCTGACTGTAATAGGCTTCAGTTACTGAAGATAACTGTAATAGGTTATCTTCCTTGTGGACGAAGTTTATGGGGAGAGATTTAAGACATTTGGGAAAGAGGCTAAGACCTGGGTGGAGCCCAAAGAAAGCTGAGAGTACAGGTCCTAGTTCTGGAGCAAAGCATTCAAAGGTCCCCCTGCAGGGAGAGACAGGCCTGTGACCCTGCGGCAGGGGCTAAGGTGCAAGAAAGGGCCAGGAGAGGAGCCCTTAGCAGGATCCAGCCCAGGGACCACTGGAGCTCTGAGTTCTAGGCTCCATTTTTATGTTTTTCTGTCTACAATATGATTCCCGCTAAGCCTTTAGTAAAGTTTTGCTCAAGTTCACTCTAGTCTTGGCTGTCCTTTGGGGAAGGCCTGTGTCCACATTTGAGGCAGCATGGTAGGCATGGCTCTGACCTCGAGAAGCTGGTTACAGGGGGACAAGAGGTGACCTACAGGAATAGTGGGGAGGCCCAGGGTGAGAGATGGGCTGGGTATCCACCAGGATGGATTCCTGAGGCGTGTGAGCATTCCTGGGCATTTCTAGGAATATTGAGAGAGAATCCTGGTAAGCAGTACCTGGGATGCTCTGTGGGTGTCCAAGGGCAGGCTGGAGACCTTGGGCACATCAAGGTGCACATGCCCCACAGACCCTGCAGGTGGGATTAGAAGTTAAGTGAGCCAGGAAGGGGGTCAGGGCTCCTTAGCCCCCGGCTATCCTCTGGTCAAGTGCCCCCCTCATCGCTCAGCTGGGCAAGGCAATCCTCTGAGGTCATTTCCTGCCTCTCATTGCACAGGCCCTGCTGACCGCCAGCCCCACCTTAGTCCAGCCCTCTGCATTCTACTACTCTCTGCCCATTCCATGTGGGTTCCACTGGCTCCACAGAGTCTAACTCTCAGATTCAAAAGACCACTGCTCTAGGCAGGACGGAGGTGTGGCTTAACAGCAATCCACATAAACTCAGTATATGTCAGTGATATGATGTGTTTGCCAGAAAGGCCATTACGTCAGTAGAAGCACAGTGAGGTAAATGGTCCCTTTCTCCCCAGCACAGGTTGGACAGACTGTCTCACTTCAGATCCAGGCACCACAATTGAAGAAGTGGGCATTGTTCAGATGAGGTACAAGAAGGTGAATGCTCAAACCCTAAGTGGAGGCGGCTTGAAGATCTGTGTGTCAGAGGCTGGCTGGATGCTCACTAATTCTGCTTCCTCTTCCTGCACACATAGGAAAGCTACATTTCCCAGCCTCTCTTGTAGTTAGGTTGGGGCCATGTGACTGGGATCTGGCCAACAGAACGTGAGTAGCAAGGATACCAACTACTTCCAGACTTGGCCATAACCCCCCTGTGAGATTCTTTTTGTGCTGCTTCCCTTGCCTCTGTGGATGGAAGGGGAAGACCCCGAGTTGATGGAACCTCTTGAAGAGCAAATCCTGAATCACTGCCATCACTTGGGAAAAAGACTTGCCAGAAAGTAGTTGCTCGTTGGACTTTGCATGAACAGGAGATAAACTTTTATTGTTTTAAGGCAATGTGATTTGGGGGTATGTTTGTTACTGCAGTATAATCCAGCCCTGTCTAATACAAGCTGAGAAGTAGGATATGAGACTTTTCTTCAAATACCAGTACCTAAAGGGTCATGTCTTTCCAGAGGCCAGAACTAAGGCCAGTGGGAAAAGTGGTTCCACTTGGGCTCATTAGGAGTTAAGATTTTCTGCCCAACCTTGGAATAACTTGTCTTGGGTAGTAGTGAACTGGCGTCATTGGTGGTACTCGCAGAAAAACTGGGCTGTCGTTTTGGGGAGATATACAGGGGATAATTCATAGGGAAGGAATTGGAGATCATGACCTCTGCAGGACTTTCTAACACTGATATCTAATGTCTAATCTACCAACGTCTTTCTGATAGTTGTTGAAGTAAAGCAAATGGAATTGACACACCATTTCCCCAGAGCACTGGGCACCATTGTGACCCCAGGGTTATTGCCATCAAAGACCATCATCTTGCCAGATGAATTCCTGGAGGCTGCAGGATCATGAGCTGTAAGAAGCACATTTTTCAGAAAAGCATTGAACCAAGGAGGTCCAGATTCTGGCTCTTTCTTGGTTGTACCAGCCAGAGAAAAGCAGCAGATGGGGATGTATTCTGTGCTGAAAATTTCTCCCACACTTGTCTGGCCAAACCACAGACCAGTGTGTATAAACAGGAAGATGAGCCCTCATCTTACTAAGCAACAGTGGTGAATGAGAAAGGAATCTAATTGCTTTTGCCACCTTCAGTCCAAACCAGATGGACCTTTTCTTCCACCTTTTATCTTAGGAAAGAAAGGAGTCTTAATCCCCAATAAGTCTGTTTGGAAGAAGGATCGATTCTTCCAGAGCACTCCAGGACTCCAGGAATCTGACTCCAGGGAAGGATTAAGTGACTAAAACCAAATTTACATTTTAACAGGATGCATTTAATCTTTCATGATAAACATGGAGGTGCCACTGTTGAGAAGATGCTCCAGCTTAAGAAGGCTGATCACTAAATGTGGGGCTCCCCAAACACAACCCGAACAGTAAGAAGAGCCCCCCAAGGGGTGGGTACAACAGGCCTTCCTGCTTTGGCAATCTTCACTAGTGATGAGGGGACTGATCAAGCCCTCCCTCACTGTGGGGAGCAGCTATTCAGGGGGCAGAAGGGGTCCTGTGTCCAAGGACAGGGAATGATATTTTCCAAACCGCAGGGCTGAGTTCTGTCTTCAGAGGGGAGGCGGCCAAATTAAGTCCCAGAGTGGATTAGCAACAATGTGCTGCAGAGCTCAAGACACTTCATGAATCTCAAGAGGAAGAAGGCCCTACTTCATTTGAAGGCTTCATCCTTCTTGGCCACTACTGGATAATCAAGGACAAATCCCCTAATTGCTGTTCAAGTTTTCTCTGAGAATGTCAATCCCTGGACTTTCCTGACTCTGTTGGGTATTCCATGGGCCTTCTAGATCCCCCTGGTGTTGGAAGACCCTCCCTCCCCATAAGAACTGCAGCACACTCCAGCTGTGGCTGGTTACTTT